TGCAAAAGAGCAGACAGACTGAGCAGAAGAAAGAGACCAGGAGAGGGGTCAGTAGTGGGGAGTTGCTTCAGGTAAGATGAACATGTCTGACTGCACGTCAGCATCTTGTCTGAGTGTCTAAACTCCTCAGGTGGTGAAAAGAACGTGGGGAGCTGCTCCTAGGACATTTCCTTCAATCACCCTGGGGAAGGTCATGGAAGGATTCCAGGTTTCACAGTTATGCTGTGGGGACTTAAGACAGAAAGTTGTATTACTTTAAATCGCATTCCTGATTATTATCCCAGATCATGAAGAAACATCTATGTATTTATTAAGAAAAATGAAGTTTAAAGAAGAGCATTTTAAGCCTTGGCACATGCTTATAGTCCTAGCTAATTAGAAAGCTGAGGCAGGAGGATAGCAAGCTTATGGCCAGTTTGGACAACTTAGACTCTGTCTCAAAATAAAAAAAGAAACAAAAAAGGCTAAAGATGGAGCTCAGCACCCGCTGAGTCCAATCTCTAGTACAAAGGTGGAGTACATGCTAACATTTGGTGTGTAGATAATTTACCTCAATTTATACACAAAAATAGTTGCTTTTAAAATCACCTCTGTAAGTGTAAGGTATTAATATGAAACTTGTAGAAAATTGTAAGTGATTTTTCATTTTTATTTAAACTCACTGACTTATTCTGATCGCATAAAATTCTTAGAACATGGCTTTGACCTCACCTAACCCATGCTCTACACAGCTAACATTGGCCTCATAAATATAATTGTAAGCTGCTATGAGGCAGCATTTTGGATTTAAGTCTGAACAGATGAAGCAAAAGTAACAAGTAGAGATGTATTCATGACTCCTAATTCCCCATTTAAAAAAAGATGTACTCTCAGGCATCTGGCTTCTGTCACAGGAAATAAGTTATAGATATAAATCAAAAGAGTGAAATATGTACTTATCTTCTTTCTTTCCCATAGACATTTATTGAGTGCACCTATATTAAGTGGTAGGACACAAAGATGAAAAGGAGATAGTCCTGTTCTCTAACCACGTATCATATTTTAAGAGAGCTGGCAGTCAAGCCAGGCAATATTTACAATGCAATATGACAAGAACCACAGGGAAGTATAATAGTAAGGTGCTCATATACACAGAGGGAACAGGGAACTCCCCATGGGACAATCAAGGCTTCACTGAGGTAACATCTGAGGAAACAGAATGACTCAAAGATGACTAAAAGAGCCACCTGGGGATCTAAATGAATGGAGATTCTATCAATAAAGAGAATAAACTGCGCATGGTGACCCAAGCCTGTAATTCCAGCTACTAAGGAGGCTGGGGCAGGAGGATCTCAAATTCAAGACAAGCCTAGACAAAGTTTAGTAATTTTATCCCTGTCCTAGAATAAAGTTTAAAAAGGAATGAGGATTTTATTTAAAGTAGTGCACTTGTAAAGCCATGAGGTCAATCTCCAGTGCAGTAGAAAGAAAGAAAGAAAGAAAAAGGAGAGTTGGAGAAAAATGCAGTTTCCTTCAGGACATGTAGAGTTTGAGAGGATTGTGGGTCACAGGAGTAGAGATATTCATTAAACCTTTGTCATTATACAGTATGTTTTAATAGTACTTGGCAAGAAGACAAATTTAGAATCATTAGCATATGATTCAAATCCCTGGGAAACAGTGGGTTCACCCATGGCAAGTGTTGCCTGAGAGCAATACTTAGGGGGACTGTAGTAATTAGGCAAAAGAAACTGAGAAGCAAAGTCAGAAAGGCAGGAAGAAAAGTAAGCCATTGAAGTGGTGGACTTTTGGGTAGCTGGTACAAATGACCACGGGTCAGAAAGAGACGTACAGATGCTGTCATTTGGAGAAAGTGAGGGGTAAGCATCTTGACTGTAGAAAAGGGATTATGAGGTAGGAAAATAATTTTTGTGATTGTAATGGAATATTTGAAGCTGACATTTCAGATTTTAAGGAATTTTCACGCATAGCATTTAAGATCTGACATAAGAGAGGGTTGTTGAATTGAGGGTTTGGTATTCAAAGAATTCAAGGATATGTTAATCTATCAACAAATAGATTTGTTGAACAGGCTATCTGCCCAGTTCTAATAATTCACTATGGATGGCATCTCTATAGGACTTTTTTGCTAGTCTAACAAAAGCCATCTTTGAGTCAAATATGTGGGCAGTTTGACTGGCAATAAATAAACAGGCAACACAACCTTGTTCAACTGCAACAGGTTTTCATTTACTTAACAGACATGTGTGTGCTGCAGTGACGCTGTTGTGCTACATGATGGTACAGAAATGACCTCAAAATCTGATGAGGGAGATTAACAAGTAAAGAAATAATTAAAATGGAGGAGAATGAAGAAAGCAAATGAACATATACTGACAGTTTACTAAGCCCTTTGTTTAATCCTTAAAACAGCCTGTAAGTAGGCATCCTTAATGCCATATTACAAATAAAACCGCAGGAAAGATTTGAGCAAATTTTTCAAGGTCAACTAGTACATGTTATTGCTTGCTTTAGAACCCCAAAATAATAACAGTGTGTGAAGGAAGTAAACATATATACATCTGTCTGAAGACGCAATGAAAGCAATGTAGCAAGAAGTATTCAGTTAGTTAAGTGTATAAGATGATTACTTTCCACCAAACTACATCTAGTAGTAAATCATAATCCCTAATCTTTCTGTCTGTGGCTTTAAAAGCTAGTGCAATGAAGACAAATGTGTCACCTTGTTCTTCAATAAACACAGTGGTCTTCCCACGGAGGCACCACGTAAATATTTCTAGAATAAATGAGCTAAGTCCAAGCATATCCCTAATGACTGGGAGACTGGATGTTCTGGGTAATTCATTTTTAAATCACTCATTGGGTGTCTGTTAAGCACTCAGTGAAGCACAATGCTGCAAGTGCATGTCCTCATGGCGCTTATGTCTAGTGGAAGAGCTGCCTAGGAGAGAAAATTTATTCTACACTGGTTTTCACAGAATTTAAATAACTGCAACACACTAGTGAAAACAAATGAGTCTTACTGACTCCTTAGCTCTTGCAGGTGCTATTGTGCTTCCGCATCAGAATGATGCCAATTTTTTGAAAATGTTATAGGGCATAGAAAATTGAACAGAATGGCGTGTTAATCTTGAACTCTAAGGGCTGGCCGAATAGCTCAGCTGTATCAAAGCACCCTCAAGCAGGCACAGGGGTCAGGTGTTCAATCCCTGGGCCTGCTGTGCGGGCCCTGCCCCCGCGGCCGTGGGACACCTGTAATCACAGCTCTTGGGAGGCTGTAAACAGAAGGATCACTGAGTGCAATCTACGCAGTGAGACCCTGTCCACCCTGTAGATCCATCCCTAAAATAGAGAAAAAAAAAATCTTGAGCTCTCAAAAATAAATCGTGATAGTAGACAGTTTATATGCAGTCAGGCACTCATAAAAACGAATAATATTCAGAGGAAACAACAACTAGTTTGGTGTAATATAGATGAAGGGAAAATAGAAGACTCAGTTAAACAAAGGCCAGTCAGCAGGAGCTGAGGAGAGCTCCCGCGTCATCACAAAGGATTCAAATTTTATGCTGAAAGCTCCAAAGATTAATTTAAACCCTTGAAGCAGGAAGTTATGTAGTGTGTGTGTTTTAAAAGCAATCTGACAACAAATTTTCACTTGAAGTGAAACAATAGGAAAAGAGACTAGTGAGAATGGTATTGAACTGGAACACACATGACATGAAATGACTGCTTGAAATAAGATAGAAAAGATGAGTTGGAGAGGTAAAGAAAAGGAAAAATTAGTGGGACTTTGAAACTGATTAAATACAAAAGATGGGAAAACAAAGTATTCCAAATGCAATAAAGTAGAATAATTTTATCCTTCTAAATGACTGTTAAAAAATAGAAATGTCTTTAAAGACATGGATAATCTCCTAAATTCAGATTAGTTCCCTGTTATGTGTCCTTCCTCAACGCCTGCTTTCATCCTAAATTACTGATGAACACAAAAGAAACAGGGCTGCTTGTGGAAGTAGCTTAATATATTTTCAGTGATAAAAATTTTTGGAATGCTGGACACACCCAAGTTTATGCAAGCACATTCCAAAGGAAAATTTTAATGGCCGCGTTTCTTTTCTTTTGCCCTAACGGTTACAACAGCATTATAACGAAGGGCAGACTGTGAAAAAGGTAATCAGAGACACCAATACTTATAGAATGCTGCATTCATTTAACAACGGGTTATACTGCAATGTTTTTCAGGCATTCTAAAGTTACCTGACAAAATGGGAATAAAAGGAAAATCCCCACAACTTTTTTGAGATACTAAGTGTCCCATTCCAAAGTATAAGTTTTCCTCTCGTTAAGATTTAGGGTTTTAGCAACGGAGACCCCTTTCTTCCTTTATTTAAATATAAAATCAGGTGGGAATCGCCTGGTAGAAGTGTATTTCTCTTAAGAGTGTGTAATACAGTGTTCTACTTAGCATGCTGGGGGGAGGGAAGCAGCAAAGAAGCAATTCAGTGCCAGGAGTCTCCTTAAGAACAAATTTTTAATTTTCTCAAATGCAAGCTTATATTTTTACAAAAATCCAACAAACAATAAAAATTTTAAAAATGTAGTGGTAATTTTTAGTAAAAAAAATTGTAGATGATGGTGGGGAGAAGCCACATGAACCTTCTTGAGGAAATCGTATGTTTACTGAGTAAACAAGGGGTAGTCTGGGAAACACCTGCTACTCCGAGGAGCTAAAAAGCCACCAACGCCCCCTTCTGGCCACATCCGGGCACTTCTCTATAAACTCTCCCTTCCTAGCCGTTGCGCTTGTTTGAAACACGTACAACCAATCAATCCGCGCCTACTGGGAAGCGGACGTTGAGCGGCAACCAATCACCGGCCCGCTGGAGATTTCAGCCTATCAGCAGGAGGCTGACATCACGCGCCAATGGGCGAGGCTCTTACAAACAGCGGCTCACTTTTTGAATTGGAGGTGGCCGCTGCGGGTCGGGAATGGCGGCCTTGCAGAGGGGAGTCGGTGCCTGAAGAGGTGGATCTCACAGAACTTTTAGAGAGCGGTGAGGACTGCGGCGGGATGGGCGGGCGTCCGCAAGGCCGTGGGCCCAGTGCCTGCGGCCGCCACCTCCCCGGGGCGCGCGGCCCCGGAGCAGCGCGGGGTCCCGGCCCAGAACCCGCAGCCCACCCGCGGCCGGCCGCGACGCGGAGCACCGTGCAGCCCGAGATTGCGGGCGCCTGGCCGGGCCGGGTGGTGGAGCGCTTTTCCGGAGCAGCTTCTGTGGGCAGGCCGGGAAGGAGGTGGCGAGGAGCCCGCGGCTGCCGAGGCCGGCGGTCGCAGCCCGGACGCTTATCGCCCGGCGTGGTGGTTTCGCTCCAGGATTCCTCCCGGCTTCCTCCCTCTCTGTACAGGAAGCTTAGCTTTTAGCTTTCACTGTAAAAGCCAGGCTTCCCCCTCTTCCCGGCCACAGATGGTTTAGTGGTTAAAAGCGCAGCCTTTGGCGTTAGCGTGGGCTTTGAATCATTGTTCTAAGCTTTCGTTATCCGTAGACTGCAGTTGCACTTTCCAGTTAGGCTTGTTGCAAAGGTTAAGTACGAGTAGAGGTCTAGGCCGATGTCTGCCACATAATTAAGCATGAAATAAACATTGTTAGGCATGTTTGCGGGTAACACCACCCATAATATCCAGTATTGCATTTGGGTTCTTTGCTCTGGACCATGGTTGCTAAAAAGATCTTGAGTACCAGGTGACCTAAAGCGAGTGTTTGATGAAGAGAATCGATGCGCAATAGTACATTTAGTAAGACGCCCCTGGGTGCTGTTCAGAGTTGAGAAATAAGCTGCATAGATTCTGCATGTATTGTGTGTATTTTATATGTTTTGGTGCTGTGTTTTATATGTTATATGTTTTAGTCCAACCCAAGCCTTTGGGCTTACTGGGCAAGGTTAGTGCTCTGCTACTGAGCCACACCCCCAGCCCCTGCTGGGTTTATTTACAAATTTATAGAATACAAGAATGAAGGCAAGTGATGATGGTATTGTAACTGGATTGTTGGATGTTAATTACAGCAACTGTTACCCTTGCTTTTTTTTTTCGTTCCTATACATTTTTAGTCACCTTTAAAGAAGAAAGCATAGAAAAACAAATTACAATAGTGGTTTTTTTTTTTTTTAATTTAAAAAAATGGACACAATTGAATCATTGTCACATTCATTTTTCTTTACCTTTTTTTTGTTACTGGGAATTGATCCCTGGAGCTCTCATGGTAAGCACGTGCACTATGGAGCTGTAACTCTAGCCCTAGTGTGATAGTGGCATTCTTTGATTAGCAACCTACCTGTTTAAGGACTGTTTGGACTTAGGACCCAGTTCTAGACATTTATGCAGCTTCAGTGTCTTTTTTTTTTTTTTTTTTGTACAATGCACATTTGTTTATGCAGCACTAAGTTTTGCTGATTGTACTGTATAGGACAGGACTGTAGTTTAATATTCTGTTATGTATTGCAGTACTGCATGTAAGAGCAATGCCAATAAAAGTAGAGCTATTGGGTTGGAGTTTCCTTTGATCATTACATCATGTGCATGACATTATTATGTATCTGAACTATGTGTAGTTCCTCACTTAACCCACCCGTTCAGTTAACTACCTAGTCACAGGGCCAGAGACTTGGTTGTTAAATGAGAAAGATCTTTGTATTTCAGTACAGGAACATGTGTGGGATCAGAGTGATTGTTGTATCACCTTAAACATTTATGAGATCCTTGTGTTGGGAACATTTCAAATCCTACTAGCCATTTCAAAAGTGTACAATTCAATGATGTCAGCCACAGTTACTAACTTTTCTGTAGAACATTTGTAGTTATTTCTCCTGTCCTGACTGCATCAAGTAGTATTTTTAAATTAAAATTTACCCCTCTTCCACTCCTTAAGGCAGGTTAATTCACCCATCTCTCTCTCCCCTTTACTGGAGATTGAGTCCAGGGCCTTCACACTAAGCTAGATCTCTAGCCCCTTTAAAATTCTTTTTATCTTTCTAGCCATCGATCTAGCCATCCATCCATCCTGTCTGTCTATCTGTCTGTCTATTTGTCTATCTGTCTGTCTATCTATATCTACCTACAGGATCTCCCCATGCAGTTTAGGCTGTCTTTAAACTCACTTTCCAGTCCAGGTTGGCTTTGAGCCTGCAGTAGTAGTCCTCCTGCCTCAGCCTTTGAGTGCTGGGATTACTGGCACATGCCACCACGACTGCCTTTAATTTGTTTTTTTGAAAGGATCTCCTGAAATCGCTGAAGCCTGAAGGTCTGCTCTAGCCCAAGGCAGGACTAGATCTTGCAGTGCTTGGCTTCAGCGTCCTAGAATGCTGGGATAACTTCACCACATCCTACTTTCTCCCTTTTTAAATCAACATTCTTTAAGGAGACTTTGAATGGAATCCTACATAGGAACTTTCCTTTTCGTTGCATATGATTGAAGTGTAGAGGGTTTAAATAACAAAAAAGAGCTAGATAGAATTTATACATTTTTAGACAGCAATTTCAAACTACTGGAGCACACTCCTTTGGAGAAAACTTAGAACAGTGACTGAGATGGTTGTATCTGTGTTGCGAACATTCTGTGAGAATTTTATTTGTTTTTTGAGGTGTTGGGGATTGAACCAGTTTCTTATCCTTGGTACTCAAGTGATCTACCACTGAATGCTTATCTCTTATTTTAAGACCTCATCTTTTTTATTTTCATCACAATTGATTTGAGTTGTCATTTTGTCTGCTTGACCCTTAAGAGGCTTAATCTACTGGAGAGCTGAAAAAGAAAGTAGCGTTGACAACTTTGAAGTGTATGACTTCCAGCTGTGTGGAAGGTGTATTGTTATTATGCACATTTCAGGTAGTAGGAACATCACCCAGAAATGAAGCTAATGATACTATACAGTTTTCCACAACATAAAATTGGCCTTTCTATGTTTGGAATTTGCATTTCTATGTTTGGAATTAGGAGTCAAAGTATCTGCATATTTTATTAACTCAAAACATAAGAAAAAGAAAAGTGTTATCAGACTTGTACCTCCAGAGAAAGATAGGGTTTCCTCTTTAATATTTTAAAATTTTACTTGAAGATAAGTTACATAAAAACCCAGTGTGAGCTTATGAAAACTTACTACGCTTTATTCTTTGTTTGCCTAGCTTTTCAGCACTTATGTCGGAGAGTCTAAAAAATAAAAAAGGTTTTTCTTTCGTAGTCCTGAGAATTACAGTGGGACCAACCTATGCATAATTGTTAAATCTTAGAAGAGAATTGTTTGCAGTATGAAGTAGTGATAAAGAAACAATCTGTTTATATATCAGAGTGTCTGAGATACCTATGAAGAATGAATGGCGGGCTGGAGAGAGCGGACTAAATGCCTGCTCTGGCAAGCACTGGGACCAGGGTTTGATCCCTGGTCCCACGTGCTGTGTCAGCCCCCCTCCTCCCATCCCTGGAGTGTGCTGAACAGAGTCTGAGTGTGGTGATGCACGCCTGTAACTCCAGCACTGTAGTGGCTGAAAACAGGAGGATCACCATGAGTCTGATCTGCAAAGTGAGACCCTGTACCAAATACACAAATGGAAAAAGAAATGTCGTTTCAAGAATGAATGAAGTAATGGCTTGAAGGTTGGAAGATATGCTAATGGGAAGTTGAACTCTTATATGTAGATAGTTGTGAAGTACATTATGACTTGCTTTTGAGAAATGCTAGGAAATTCATTGTTACTGGAGCATAGATTGTATGTGGATTGGATGTTGGGGTTTAGAGGTGATGAGTTTGAAAAGGTAGGTTGGAACTAAATTGTAAATTTCTGTTTTAGTTATTGGATCTATAGGGTCTCACTACACGGTTCAGACTCATAGTGATCCTCCTGTGTCAGCCTCCCCAGCGCTGGGATTGCAGGCATACACCACCACGTTTGATTCTGGGACCAACATGGCATCCTGTACCAAGGATCAAGCTCAGGTCTTTGCGCTTGCCAGGCAGGCACTTGGACCGCTGGGTTGTCTCCCCAGCCCTTAAATTGTAAACTATGGTGAATTTGGACTTTGTAGATAGGGAATGGTGCTTCTGGAAGTATTTAGAAATTATATGGTCACACGCTTTTTTTTTTTTGGATCAAGACCATATCCCTGAAAGACATGTAGAAAATGATTTCTGAAGAAACTGATGATAAAATTGTTTAGAGTTGTATTAGACCATGTGACCATTGTGACATTTGGCATAGAGAAGAAAGACCAGTTTCCAGAGATAGTTGAGATGAGTTTGATAGGAATTTTGGAGGGGGAGAAAGAGGTAAAGAGTAAAGATGGATCCCATGTTTTCTGCTAAGGTTATTGGTGGTGGTAGGTATTATAGAGATATTGTAAATAAATATACAAGAAAAATAAGTTGGTTGAAAGTAGAGTTGTGAAGGAAGGTAGAATATGACTACCTTTTGTGTGTTTCTTATATCTGGTAATAATCTGTATATTTTGGATACATGTAAAATTTTTTACTATATACCAATGAGTCAAGTATTAATATCTTTATTTTATAGAAAAGGAAACATGCTAAGAGGAGTAGACTTTCTTTGTATAACTATGAAGAAAAATGACATGCATTGTTTGTAGACTTTATGTAAGTGGAGTCTAATGCTTTTCTTGTCTAAAGATTGTTTGCTTATTTTTTTTATTCAAATTTTATGTTTTCAGCCAACTTAGAGCACTACAAACAATGGCTGACAATAGTATATTAGCATCTACTACTGGGAGGACTAGTTTGGCAGATATTTCCATTTTTGATTCTAAAGTTGCTGAAACTTCCAAGGAAAACCTATTTATCAGATGTACTTCATATGCTGAAGGTAAATCTCTTATCTACTTTCTTTCTTTCTTTCTTTATTTTTCTTGTCTCTTGTTTTCTTTTATTACTTTTTTTAAACAAATATTTACTTCAAAGAGAGTACAACAATAATTGTTATGACATTAGAAGCAGTACATATTTAGAAGACCAAAATGATAGGTATTTCAAGCATTGTTTTAGTATTACACATTGCTGTCCTCAATGTAGTTGCTTAGTTCACAGATATCAGCATATAGAGTTTTTCAGGGTGAGAATTCTACTCATTAACTGATATTTTCAAAAACCTGATGGCAGATTCTTAGGATCATTGCCTTAACCATCTTGTTTATATAAATGTATGGTTTTATTCCTGCCATATTTCCTAATTTTTCTCCTTTCTCTCTTTGTTGTTTAATCCTTAAGTTCTTGCTTTCTATTTAACTGTGTTATACCTTTTAATTTTTATTTTTTCTTTTGAGTTCTTACACTAGAGAGATAATATGATATTTACACATGTGGGTCTCTCTTATCTACTTTAAAGCACTGAATTGCTTTTAATCCTAAACTAAATGACTAGCAATTTTTTTTTTTTTTACGATTTAACTCTAATAACAACTATTAAGCTAGAGTATAGATATTAAATAAATATGATGGAATCCCTTCACACTATGTAGATTTTCTTATTGTTTGGATTAATGCTTTCTAACTTTGAAAAGGATGAGGCACCTTAATATTGCTAGTACCATTTTTGTTATGAGGGAAATGTAGCTGCAAAATTGTTAAGTTAGAATTTATTCAGTCATGTCTGATTCAGTTACTCTTTCCCTGTTTTATGAATGTATCTTTTCTAAAGAATGTGCTAGTAAAGAGGAGGTCTATGCTAGATAGTACTTGATTTGGTTGGGAAGAATGCTACTGTTGGCATACCTTGCTACAACATATTTTCTCATTTTCTAAAGTAGTTTATGGCCGAATTTTTTTCTACTAAATTGGGAAGTATGCCATTTTAATTTTAGAAAATATTATGATCTCTTATAGTCAAGAGAGGATTAGAATTAGTGATTATGTTGTTAATAACTTGAGAAACATATTTAAATGTCTTAAAATTTAACAGAAGAAATGCCTCAGATTGAAACAAGAGTGGTAATGGTTCAAGAAGCTGGAAGACAAGAAGAACTTATAAAAGCTTTAAAGGTATGGAGTTTTAGTTTATAGTTAAGATCTAAAGTGCTTTTTCTTCCCTCAGTGTGTAAATAGTTTCATAGCTTTTTTAATATTATACTTAAGTCTTTTTTCCACAGACTATTAAAATAATGGAAGTCCCTGTTATAAAGCTAAGAGAAAGTTGTCCTGGAAAATCGGATGAAAAATTAATAAAAAGTGTTATTAATATGGTAGGTCAAGTATTTCATTGCTTGTGGCATGCTGCACTTTCCTGGATTGAATTAGTGCACTTTATGGTGATTGGAATTAGGCATGAGGGGTATTTTGTGCACACTGATGCTTGCAAAGAAACTACAGTTTGCCAAAAAATGTATACATATTTCAGGGAAAGAAAAGTTGCACAAATATTTTTAATACTAAATTTACTGAGACATCATGAGATTAATATAAATGACCTTTGACCTCTACAATTCCAAGAGGGGCTCGAAACGGTGGCCATAAGGTTCCAGACATTGATTAGCACAGTAAATTGCTGCTTGGGTCACTTTGCTCGTTGAGATTGCTGCACATGTATTTCCAGTTTCTTCTCTACAGGCCAGCGGTGTAGTGAGTAGTTGGTATAGTCTGACCTTCCGTAGGTTCCCCCATATGAGGTTAGCACCGTCTGCTTAAAAAACACTATCCTATTTTTCCTTTACTGAATCATGTATACATTTTTGTTGGTGTCCTCTATATATTTTATATTTAAAAAAGTTCAGGTGTTTTTTTAAACCCATAACCATGACATCTATTTTAGATAATGCCCAATTTATAAGGATTTCATTATTAAATCACATAGCATGCGCAAAATTCTGATAATTTTAATTTTTTTAGCTCCTTAATTTTATATTTAGTCTAAATTCTTACTGTATTTCTCAAATTATAAATCATAGCAATTGGTGAACATTAAAAAATTGCCCTCAGCATATAAGATATATTTAATTCCCTAATCTAGGTTTGCTAGGATTAGAAGAGCAAATACCATTTACTGGTTAATGTAACAATGGAAATTTTAATTTCACAGTTCTGAAGGCTAGAAATCTATAATAAAGGTGTCAAGAGATTTAGAATGTCTTGAGGCCTCTGTGAGCTTGACAAGTGGCCTCCTCATACGGTCTTTTTTTCTGGTTATGTTCATCTCTGGTGTTTATTTTGTGTGTGTCTGAGTTTCTCCCCCCCCCCTTTTTTAATTTATGTTTTGGTGCTACAGATTGGACCTAGGTCCTGGAGTATGCCAGTAAAGAGCTCTGCTACTGAGTTACTTCCTTCACCCTATATGTCTTACAAGGACACCATTCAGATTAGATTAGTCTCCTCATTCCATAATTTATCTTTACTTATCTCTTTAAAGGCCTGTGTCCAAATATAGTCTCATTCTCGGATCTTTCATTCTGGGTTAGGGATTCAACATAAGAGTGTTAGGGGCTTGTAATTCAGCCCAGTACAAGTCCAGTACTATTGCGAATTAAGTCCAGTACTATTTACCCATTCAGAACCTATTACCTAAATAGGTAATAGGTTCTGAATGGGTATATTACCTAAATTACAGAACCTATTACCTAAATAGGTTCTGTAATTCTGTATAAAAAGAATACAATTCTGTATTCTTTTTATACAGAATTACAGAACCTATTTAGTACTTCCATTCCATTTGGTAGAGAATAGTATAGTATAAACTGTCACTACAAGTAACTTGCCATTTTATATCCTATGTTTGCGTATTACAACTGTCTGTATACTTATTTTTTCTGCATATGTACTAAGTTGATTGTATCAATATATAGATTTGGAATATAGTTAATTTGTGCAGGGAGAATTGTATGTGTGATATTTTCGTGGGAAGAATAAAAAGAAATAGTAAACATCTTTCTAATACATCCTAGCATCAAAGTATGTATACTTAAAGTATTCACCATTCTGGGCCAGGGAGATAGCCCAGCAGTCTGCCTGGCATGTGCAAGGACCTGGGTTTGATCCCTGGTACTGCACACCATGTCAGCCCCACGCTGATCTGAGCTGGCCACTGAAACTGGGCCTGGTACACACATGTAATCCCAGCGCTATGGAGGCTGAGACAGGAGGATCACTACAAGTCTAAACTGCATAGTGAGACCCTATACCAAATAAATAAATAAATGATTTAAAAAATATTCATTCTAATTTTACAGAACTTAGTGTGCATACTAGACAAATTACAGTGACTAAATGAATAAATAATCCATAAGTTTATACTAATTTATAATAATTGTCTATAATTTGTTTTTCAATAGGATTATGGTATAGAGTTATGTACATATAAAATATAAGTAAAGATAGTTTTTCATGTGTAATGATGGTTTTATAATTTAAAATTTAAGTTTTTTTACAAATACAAAAGTATGTTAAAAATTTAAGGAATTGATTTTTGTTTCATTTAAAGAATCATGAATTAATTTGAATGGCATGTACATTATTTATCTCTAATAATCATTTCTTAAAAATCAAGGACATTAAAGTACCCTGTGTAACGATGGACTCAATGGAAGAGTTTGAAAGTTTGGATTCTCCAGAATTTGAGAATGTGTTCATAGTCACAGAGTTCCAGGATTCTGTCTTTAATGACTTACACAAGGGTGACTGTAGAATTATTGGACCACCAGTTGTGTTAAGCTGTGCACAAAAAGGAGAGGTGAGATATCTTTGCCTATAGACAATATTTCATAAGTCAGTTTATTTTGGGCAAAAAATTTATATGTTAATTTTATTTGTTCAATCTGCCAGTTGTAAAGTGCGTTTTGGTTACTTATTTGAAATTTGACCTGACAATCATGAGACTTCTTTATTGATAAACTTATAATCTGAATTTTTGCTGCATATTGAAAAATGCTAATAAATCTTTGGATTGGGATAGTTGAATGGCAAGAGGGGCAATATCGTTAGCATGAGAAAGAGGTCTTCTGTGTCTTACATTAAAGCTCATTTAAAATTGTTTTCTCGTTCAGCCTTTGCCATTTTCATGTCGCCCGTTATATTGTACAAGTATGATGAATTTAGTTTTATGCTTTACTGGCTTCAGGAAGAAAGAAGAACTAGTAAGTATTCTATTCAAGGATTTTTTTCCCCCTAGTAAAATAAATTTTAAAATTTGTTGTTTTCCTTTTGGTACCATGATTTTATTTTAAAAATATTGGCAGAAGAAATACTATGACTTTATACCTCTTGTTAAATTTGGTGAACAAATTTTTAAGAGCTTTGTAAAGAAAGAAATGCTTTGTTTAGGATTGCTGGCTTGTGAATTAGTAGAAAAACTCCTTAACTATCTGATCTTAACTATCTTGTTGAATAATATATCAGCTATACTGATTATTTGAAATATGTGTGTATACTTTTCAAATTTGTATTATGTAAGTCTAATCTTAAAAGTATTCTTACTTCCCTAAAGAAGTCATAGAAAGTTTTTCTTGGGTTCACAATATTTTGTATATTGGTATTAATAATGAGCTACTATGATTTTATGGAAGGACTTGATATGATATAAGCTGACGTTTAAAAATAAGACTATGCTAGGCATGGTGGTGCACATCTATAGTACTCAGGGCTGAGGCAGGAGGATTGCAGTAAGTTCAAGGCTACCCTGGACTACAAAGTTGAGTTCAAGGATAGCCGGAACTACATAGTGAAACCCTGTCTCAAATACATTTGTTTTCTTTTTTGCAGGGGGTACTGGGGATCAAACTCAGGACCTTGTACTTGTCAGGCAGACATTTAAGCCACTGAGCTATCTCCCTCGCCCTGAAACCCTGTCTCT